TTTTTTTTTTTTTTTTTTTTTTTTTTTTACCATGGCACGAGTAAAAACCTTTGGAGTTGAGGGCGGTGAGAAAGAGGGGACAATGATTATGGTGGGACTGAGTAGATGTACGGACTTTTAAAACTAATTAATTTATTTCAAGCATCTTTCTCTCTGTTTTTTTTTTTTAATAACATTAATTTGTTTCTACATCTGTTTCATTTTCATTTTCACAAGGAAACTATTTATTGGGTAAATCTTAAATTGAGTTATTAAGATTAGATATGCACATGCAACCCCAATTTAAAAACCAAATAAATGCAAACAAAAGAAATCCATTTTAATACATATTTATTTATTTAAAAATAAATGATATTGCTTAGGCCATATCACATGACACATGTGAGGGATGATAATCAATTAATCAATTAATTAATTAATTAATTATAAAAAAAAGAAATGGAGGTACGCTCACGTTGAGGAATGTTACTCTTGTCCACCCAATCCTCGACAATGCCTTATCCATGGGTCCTCCTGTTTTTTGTTTTAATTATATATTTACACCATATTATTTACTTCAATTACTTATGTAAATAATAATAATAATAAAGTGTGCACCCAAGTATACAATATAAGTACATGTGATTTTGCATGCATGCACATGATATGTTTATATTCCTATCTCAATGTTTTTCTTTTACTTCCCAACTGAATTTGCTCGCGCAATCCAGTCCCCTTAGGAAGGGCTTCACATTCTTTACCATTCAATTGGGCCTCATTTGATGACGTGGCTACTATATGTTGGCCCAATTCTAAGTTCCCAACACAATATTAATGATTTTAGGAACCATGGTTCACTCTTAAACGATGAATTCAACAAATACAAGTTTGGCCATTTTTTAAAAATCGAATTTTGGATTTTCTCATTAAAATATTGGGTCCTAGTAATGATTTTATCATTTTCACATTTTAATTGGGAGGAAAAAAAAAAGAGACGCAAATTTGGATAATCCACTTCATATTGACTCGAGACGCTCCAAACTTCATTTAATTTCAAATTTGAAATCTTACTTAATGTAGATTTAGACGCAACCTAATTAGTTTAATTTCAAATTAATTAACCTTTTCATTTATCATCACATCCTGGGTTTTTTTTTTTTTTTTCTCTTTAATGTGGGAGGTTGACAATTTATTTATTTTTCATTCCCAATCGCCACCGTCGAAGATGACCGGAATCGTACACTGATCGGAAAACCCTGCAAAGAAATCAGTTTCCGCCGCTGTGTACGGCGGATTCCCCCACCAATCCACTGAGTCAACCAACTCGAATTTGTTCAACGACTCAGCGCTGATTTCCTCTTCAATATTGGGCAATTCCACAATCTCCCCCAATTCATCCGACCCTTCTTCATCATTGGACGACGAAGTTGTGGGCACGGTTGAATCAAAATCGACCATCGCCGCCGCCTTGGCTGCCGCAGCCTGAATATCTGTGGGCATTAAGGAGACCGGGCGGGGAAGCAAACCGGCGAGTTGAGGGAAATTGAGAATCGGTTTAGCGGAATCGCCTTTGATGCTGAGCAGGGCGACGTCGTGTGCACGTGCTGCCATCTCCGGTGTGGTGAAAGTCCCTAGCCAAATCCGAGATTTCTTCCTGGGCTGACGAATCTCCGACACCCATTTGCCCCAACTTCTCTTCCGTACGCCTCTGTAAATTTGGTGCTTTCGATTTCCCCTTTTGATCTCTGTACTCTCAGATTCTAAATTCGAATTGTTTGGCTCCGCCATTGATGCCGAGAGAAAGAAGAAGAAGAAGAAGAAGAAGGAGAAGAAGAAGAGCAAAGTGACATGTGAGAGTAGTATTGTATAGAACATTATATTATATATAAAAATAAAAATTGGTAGGCTCCTAACAAAGCGACTTCTAACCAACCAAACCTTCTATAATTTGACATTAATTCCTAATGAAAGCCCCAGATGAAGACTTTTTTAGGATTTCCAATCATTTTAACATATATATATATATTTATGTATTTGTATATCTTTGGACAACAAAAACATCTATGTAGATTAATGTATTAATAATTAATGACTCCTAACTAGTTTTAATTTTTTAATTTTCTATCTTATTTGGATCTTAGCATTCTATTAAAAAAGGATGACTTCATTCAATTAATTTTGTAATTATTATATTTTGAAAGTTATTTGTAGTAATTTTTGTTTCTTTAAATTTATTTTAGTCATGTGCGTTACGAAATCAAATAATACCGACTACGAATCAAATTATCATTAAATTCCTTTCCAATATGGCACTCCACTACTAATAATAAGAATAATAGGACTGAAAATTAATATTTATTTTAAAACCTTATAGGATTTCTTATGTTTTTTTTAAAAATCAAATATATATAATTCAATTTTTTACAGGAAAATTATGCAATACGAGCATATAAAAAATGGGAAGAGGGTAGGGCCCACACGATATATGGAAACGAATTCCATGCGCATTTATTTTGCACTAAACAACGTTGAAATGTTTTTTTATTAAATTTAAATTTAAATTTAATTAAATCCGTTGTCTCGCCACTCAGCTTATTCGTTTTTTCTTTTGTTTTTTACCTCAAGAAATTTTTCCGTTCAAAATAAAATTTCCATGCAAATTAATTATTTCTTTTGTATAATTATTTATTTATTAACTTACCCAGAGTTTAAATTTTTTGATCTTCTAATACAAAATAATTCATTACTACATAGAAAAAATGTATAGAAAACGTGTCAGGTTGTTAACAATTTGTAATGATATGAATGTGAATTCATGAGGTTTAACTAAATTATGGGGACATATTATTTGACTTTATTAAAGATGAATTTGAGGCGCTACTAAATCCTAATGTATTGTAACACTAGAATTTATTTGTAACAAACTTGACGTGAAAGTGATTAACATTAATGTAATTAAAAATGTAGTAGTGTTTATTAAGACATAATCTCTACCAGCAAAAGGAAAATGGTATAATATATAGAAAAAGAGTACATGAAAGCAAATGAGTTTGTGTTGAGGGAATGATTGGGAGATTGAATAGAAGAAATAAAATAAAATAAAAAAAAAAAGAAAGGAAGTTTAATTGAGAAAGTAAAGGAAAGCGTTGTAAAGAAGAATTAAGAAGAGAGCAAACAGAGCTTGATGGGGCAATGAAAGAGTGGGGGGGACATTGGAGGGAGAAGAGGTCGGAGCAAAAAGAAAGGCCATTGATATGCCAATCCCATTGTTAATGTTATTCCCCTTTTCTTCCTTGTAAATTGGCCTACCAATCACATGCTTGTACTGCCCCCCACTCCATGCCTGAATCTGGTCTCCCACGGTGACCATAATCGCGGATTCCTCCGGCACAAAACAAACCCAACCTTTCTTCGAGTAAACATGGAATACACAAGAAGAAGACGAAGACGAAGATCCATGGCAGAAATGGAAGCATAAGGCATGAGACAAATCACTTCCCCTTATAAGCATTCTCATCACATCATGTTTCAAACAGTTTTCCAGTTCATCATTCTGCCTCTGTTTCTGCTTGTGCACACACCACACCGATCCCTGCCTCCAACCCACTTCCTTTTCTGCGACTTTCCCGCAATTTTCCCGGAAAATTTCAAGAATTTTCTCCCCCACTTTCTCTGTTACTTGTGTCAGTGCTTCCATTTTGTTGCTGCCAAAGATTTTCAAATCAGATTAGTGGGGTGAATATTAAAATTGACGATGAATAGTAGAGAAACAGAGCTTACCTGAAATCCGAATATCCAAATCCCGAAATGCCCTCCATCTCTTTCCTCAGACCTTCATCTCTGCTCCACACAAATTCTTCACTCACTTCACTCTCATCCTCTCCATCCCAATACTCCTCAAACCCATACCCCTTCTCCGGGGACCTTGTCACCACCGTCTTTTTCTCCCGCGATATCCCAAAAACCCCCGCCGCCGCCGCCGACGCAACCGCCCCAATCAGCTCCATTGGAATCCCATGGTTCCCCAATTGGAAACACCCAATGCTGCCCATTGAATCCAAAATCCTTACAACAGAATCATGATCCGAGGATTCAATGGATCGAAAATCAATCCTGGGTGGGTTCTGAATGAATCTCTGTCTCGGGAATATGTTTTCGGGCAAAACGAGATTGGGGACGCGGAGAGAGTGCTCGAGGAAGTCGGTGAGAACGTCGTCGTTTGTGACGGAGGAGCGACGGCTGGTGTTGATAGGGGAGGGCGGGGGAGCCCGGAAGTCGAAGGGGGTCGCCGCCGTGAGCTCAGGCGACATCATTCCCATCGTTGGAAAACAGAAGAAAAACAGGGGAAAATGGGGAATTCAATGAAGAGGGATTTTCCGGTAAGGTTCGATTTCTTTTTTCGAAGAGATGGAGAAATTAAAAGGGAAAAAAGGAGAGACGAAGAAGCAATGATGAGTTGCCAAGAAATTGAGGGACATTATGGAAATCATCTTTCTTTTGTAAGGGTCTACTCTGTTTCTTTCTTTTCTCTGTTTCTAACTGTGCCTGATTCATCGTCTTCTTCTTTCTCTTTTCCTTTTTGCTTTTGAATCCTTCTTTTACAGATATAATTGTTGTCGATGTGGATCACAGCTGAGACTGTGACGCAATTATGGTGTGGTGGCCATTGCAAACCACACAGCTTTTTCTAATAATTCCACACCATTTTCATTTTTATGTATTAAATGATAATAATCATGTGTTTTCATAATAATTACGATCTTATGCTTAGATTATTTGAACTATGTTTAGATTATAATACAATATACAAACTACTAATAATAATAATAATTATAATTATAATTATAATTAGGTGACAACAACACTAATTAGCTTTCACTTTTAATTTCTTTAATGATAATAAAAGTGGTGGAGGTTGGAGTAATAAAGGAATAAAGTTAATTAAAAGAAAAGGCTTCCTCTGTTTTGTGTGGGCTTAGGTGGGTATTAGTCATGGGCTTACATATGAATTGGGCTTACATATGAATTGGGCTTACATATGAATTGGGCTTAGGTGGGTGGGTATTAGGCATGGGCTTGAACATGGGCCTAAATTTAGAACATGGGCCTACAAGTGTATTCATTATTAGGGGAGGGGTAGGAAGCGTGTGGCGAGCATCAATATTAAAGAACACTGCATGAGGTGGGCCCTCTCTGTTTTAAATCCATTCTTCTACCACCACCACCAACTCTCCTTTTTAGCCGCCCTTCTTGATTCATAATTCAACATCTTTACTATTACTACATTTCATTGCATAAAACTATATAATAAATTTCCATAAAGTTTAATATCATTTTAGACCTAAGTTTAAAATTTACAATCCAAGCTTCTTATTTTTTCTCTTCATTTATTAATTAGAGTCTACCATTAAATTGCATTTATGTCTCCAACCATACTCAAAGGTTGCGTGTAAATGCATGGAGTCTACATCCTCAAAGGTTATTGTTGTAATTACCCACAATAATTATCTTTTATTTTATTGTTTTCAAAATTACTTACCGGGGTTGGTAACACTAAATATATATTCGGTGTTTGACTTTTCAAATCTTTCTTCGGCTTTACAATTTGTAAAACTCGGTACCTCCGTCGATCCAAAATCTAAATTTTTATCAACTTAAATATTTTGATAAAATTGTTCTTGTGTTTATTTATTTTTTAGTTTCGAGTACAAATCTAATTCACGAGTCAAACCCTTGTACGAGATTAAACTCTCCCTTGTTTTGAATGAACGATGACAAAAATTTAGCATTTAGTCATTTGAGCCCATCCAAAATAGGGAAGTGAGTGAAGAAAAAGGAATTTTTCTGGAGGGCGGACATGGCCAAGAAACATACTTGACAACACTTGGACGTTGTTTTCTAATACTCCTTCTTTTGAATCATAATCATTATTTACACGCCACGTTTTATCATTAAATTTATATTACAACATCCCACGACCAATTAAAAGTCAAGAATTTACTTCCAAATTAATTGTTCCAATATAACTCCATAAATGGTATTTTAATACCAATTTCAAACACCTAAACGCTAAACTATCCTCTAATAATTATCCAAATTTAATATTGACATTCCACTAATTAAAATATTATATTATTGAACAAAAGTTGGAGATAATTCAATTTTTTTTTTTTAAATATACTAAAAAATAAAGTGAAAAAAGTATTATTATGCATTTGGAATCCAATGAAATTGGGTTGGTGTGTGTGGTGGTGTGGCACGGAAGAAGAGACTTTAGGGTTGTGGCGTAGAGAACGGCTACGTGCTCGCCCAACCCACCACCGATGGTAATGCCCATTGTGTTCACCGCCCTACCCCACGCCTCCAATAAGCTTTCTTTGTGGCACTTGAATTCATAATCCAATTCACCTATGTCTTATCAACAACATAATATCTTGTATTTAATCAACCAAAGTTTGTAATAATCACCACCATATTTTGTGGACATTACTTCCGATTTAATTATGTGATAAGGTTTGAGCTTTGGATTTGTTGAAAATTTGATGTTACTATTTCAATTATTTCAATTATTTCAATTATATGAGTATATGTGGGACATTTGCATAGTTACAAGAAAAAAATATAATTAAAATTTCACAAGTGTGATTGATAAGCAATGTAAAAGAAGAAAGTGATTGAGATATTAAAATAATGCAATCGTCAATTTAAAAATCTTCTACCATACTCAAATTTAGGGTTCAAACTATATACCTCAAAAGAGATGTCAAGTAGTATATTCGAGAGGATGGCAAAAAAATACATATTTAGAGCTACGAACGCTCATAAGATAAGTAGAGATGGAAACGAAAAAGGAGAATATGTTCTTGGCGATTGTTTATCTCATTCCAAGAACCACTCCAATATAACACTTTAAGCTCACATTTAGCAAATATCGTTCGTTTTGAGTTTTCATGGAGAGGTTTCCACTCCTTATAAAAAATGTTTCAATCTCACAATCCACCCATCGTTTCCCTGTCCAACCGACGTGGGATCTCATAGTCCACCCATGTTTAGGGCCCAACGTCCTCACTATCACTAATTCCTCTCTCCAATCGAGGTGGGATCTCATAATCCACCCACATTCGAGACTCAATGTCCCTGTTAGCACACTACCCGATGTTGATACCATTTGTGATAATCCAAGCTCATGTTGATACCATTTGAGTTTTTCTTTTCAAACTTCCTCTCAAATTTTTTGAAAAGATGTTCACACCCTTATAAATGAATGTTTCGTTCTTCCCTTCAATCAATGTAGATCTTACGAAGAATTAAGAGGTATAATTGGGAGGAAACGCCGGTCGATAAATGTTAAGGAAAAAAATATATGGTTGTAGTTTCATGCCAAATGTGTGGTGTTATTATATGAAACCCTCATAGTGAGGCCCACACTACCTTTATTTTTGTTTCCCCCTTATTTCCATCAATTCAATGTATTCTTCTTCTCTATCAACTTGTCCACCTTTTGCTTAACGTTACCGACGGTCATAGTAGCACACAGCATGTTGTCCACGTGTACTTACCCTATTTGATTCCCTTTTTTTCTCGCATTGGGGTTTCATTTCCACCAAAATTCTCCTCGCCTTCATTCCAACCACAACAACTATCCTCAAAATCTGTATTTTCCTCTTTTTTTTTTTTTTTTATTATTTAAAAAAATTCCTTTATTCTCATTATAAAAAAAAAAAAAAAAAAAAAAAA